TTCGTGGAAGGGGCTTAGTCATCGATCCTATTAGATCTCACAATTGTTCATTTCAATTGTATCGCTTTAGTTTTTACGGTCGATATTTTTCTGTTAGTTTTCCTGTTCGCTATAGATAGCAATCGTCAAAGATACGTGACTTAAAAACCTCAAAAAATAGATTGGTTTCTTTGGCTCATTCTAATAGTTGGAACTGTAAGCAATATACATAGTTAAATAAAACACTGTAACGGTTTAAAACGCGATATATTAGTTAAACTTATTTGAAAATGATTTCTTACTTCGGCCCGACGTTTCGGATGGTTTGCAGCAGCCGTGGTCACGGGGAGACTAAAAGTCATTTTCAGATAAGTTTAACTAATATATCGCGTTTTAAACCGTTAAAGTGTTTTATTTAAATGTGTACTACTCGCGTATAACTATAGACAATATTCAATATACATAGTTCAAACTAGACATTTTAGTATGGCTATATTATCGTTATAACTTCAACTTATACTAGGTTCTAGTTCAATACGTCACACTCAACTACAGATTATGAATAAAAATGTTACTTCGGTATTATTTCAAATCTAATACCAACTATTTACAGTTTAGTTAGGAACAGTTCGTATTGTTTCTCAAAGAGCTTTAAGCATATAATGCAATAATAATCATTGAATATATTAATATTATTTGTAATGATAAAAAAAGCGGATGATTTATGATTAAGTACTTAAATGGGAAACCAATCAGATCAAGTTTCAACGCTGACCAGCTTCTATGAACAACGAAGCTACAGGATAGAATGTGACTAATCGTTTTACATAAAAATTTTACGCTTGTATTTAAAAACAGAGTTAAGATTAGAAATTGGCCACGGAAATCAGTGTTGCAACGCAAGTGTGTTCGTAACATTTTGCTCAGTGGCTCCTGTTTTAGGGAGTTATTTTTTTTGAAGCCTTGTAAATTTCATATAGTCTGTATAAGTTTAGTTATTAAGTTATTCTTAGTTCATATTTTTTATTTTTGTGAGCAACTTTTAAAGAAATGATTTTTGTTATTAAAATTGCCCTAAAGTTAAGTGATATCGTACAAATACGATGTGCCCTCGGGCGCACGAGTTCACGTTAAACAACAATCAATTATCGATTCTCAGTTAAAATAGTCACAACTCGCAAGGTGCGAAAGGGTTGCGTGCTAAGTAATTACATACAGCTGTCAGTCGGGGACCGATTGCCGAACATGCGATATTTAGGGTGGACTCACACTGCGAACTATGAGTGTTACAAGACTACAGTACAATATCATACAAGTCCTACTGAATCAATGAACCAAAGCATTATTTATGCATATTGATAATTTTTTCATTTAATAAAAACAAAAGATTATAATATTTCAAGATTTGTTAATTAAAGTACGTAGGTCGCTTGTGTTATCGATTTTTCATCCCTTGATAGTAGGCGCTGATAGGAAATACTCTTCAATTCATTGAGATCGCTTCTTAGCTTATTTTTCTTTTCGAGGGTTCGAGTTCCAACTATCCAATGAATTGTTAGAATGTGTAAAATAATGTCTGTATTCGAAAATAACTATATACTTATATATTAAGTGTGTTGTTAGCCTTATTGGAATTTCGCTGCAATAGACGCAGTTGTGAGTTAAGCCAAAACCGCGAACGCGCTCAAACCAAACAGAAATCTCCTTTGTGGTCGTGCGTTTTTACAAGGCCCACTAGACCGTGAAACGAATAAGCCAGCATTTGCATCGGTGTGCGAATCGTATGAACGTAGGATTGCTGGAAACGCGATTATATTAACGCATTGTTTACTAAAACTCTAACGTTATGTGATACACAACGCGAAAATTTTATTAAAATCTACAAATTGTGACGTAAATGCTAACAACTTCTATAGCAGGCGTTACATCAGCAAGCTCTATAGATTTGTTATGGCCCAGTGGTAGCGGTAGAAGGTCTCACTAGCACCAAACTTCTACTATTTTATTTAAAAAAATAAGACGGTATATATACTAATGATTCTCGGTACGCCCTTCGAGTGCGTGCAGTACCTACGATAGCTACCAAAACACGTCAACAAAAAAAAAACATTGTCTGCAGTTTACGCGGGTAGTATTTTAAGGGTTTAAAACGCGATATGTATTATTTAAACTTATTTGAAAATTATTTTAACTATATGCTGCTGCAAAGCATCGCAACGTCGTAGTTAAAATAATTTTCAAATAAGTTTAACTACTTAATATATATTGCGTTTTACACCGTTAAAGTGTTTTATTCAAAAATAAGAATTTCCTTTAAAGTTCTCCTTATAAAGCTGTTCGATCTGGTGAAATAAAAGTAATATTCATTGCAGTAATATATGGCGTATCCGTTTACTTTCGCATTTGAATGTGTGTGCGAATTGCGCGGATTTTAGAGTCGGCTGAACTCTTTGTTCCTTTAACCGACTAGCGACTGGAATTAATTACTTACGAACATATTATTTCGTATGAGTACTCTAATGGTTAATAACCCGCCAGCTATCTTATTAAATTAGATTTTCTATAATATAATAGGAATATGATATAATATACGTTATATAATGGGAATATCTTAATTATGCTGGAACCATTCTTGGTAGAGACTAGGGACAGATGTAAGCACCGTAGAGGGCTGATGGTGTGATTAGTGGTTCTGGTCGGCTATACGATTTACCGCACTCCCCACGTCACACTTTCGCGACGGGCGTGCATTACGTATTCACACCATCAGTAAAAAAAAAGAAAAGGGACAGATGTAAAGTGAAAACCTGCGTTTCTGTATTATAAAACGCTAAAACCCAAAATCGAAATTAGTATGTTACAGAACTAAGGTATTCTAACTCCAATCAAGTAGAATCATCAATACATAGTCAAAAGGGCGTTATGAATTATTCCCAATGAAATAAAAAACGGTGGCCATTCCCACAATGAAGAAAAATAACGTAGATAAAAAACAATTGCACACGGGCCGGCTTTTGCCTACTTTATACCTCAATGGCCGTCAATTAGCTTAGAATAAATTGTTGGATCGTTATGCTAATACGTAATATGTAATAATACGGTGGTATGTTGTCGCTGCGGAGCGGATTGTATTCGCAAATTGCTCTTAATAGCCGTTCAAGGCGTGTTGATGTTTATCGTTACTCGAATCGAGTTTCGCAATGCAGTCGTTTGTCCGTGTATTTTTACGTCTTTGTTTTATCACATTATACAACCCGGCTATGATAATTTTATGCGGAAATGTGCGATTTAAGCAAATGAACGTTTTGTTCCGTACAATCGTTTCACGGTACTTTATTCGTTCATACTATATTGTTAATAGTTGAATTCGTGAAGCAGGAAACTTTTATATATTCTTCTCTGTGTTTGAAACGTTAAACTGTGAGTAAATTCATAAGTATATGAATGAATGTTATCTCTACCGCAAACAAGGAAATGTATAATAGGTACTCCATTGACGAAACCCAATTCTTTACTTGCTTATCATATACACTAGCTGTCGAAAACAAAGCTTCGTATTACAATGTATGTATAGGCTTAGTAATTAAATAATCTTTTAAGCGAGTTCAATTCAAACCATCGCCAAACATGTGTCTGATTATACCTTTTTTTCGAAAAACGTTAGATTAAGTACTGTGTGTAGTTTAAGCGAAGTACATACACATTTAAATAAAACACTTTTAACGGGTTTAAATGTGAACTGTATTAACTTTAAATTAAAAATTAAATAAAAAACATTGTAAAGATATATTTATATATATATATATATATATATATATATATATTACATTTTGCGTTTTAAACAGTTAAAAGTGATTTTATATTATTTAAACATGTTAGTTTGCGTCTGAAAATTGTTTCCTAAATTCGCGGGGCCATTTCATCTTTCATCAAATAAACATCATGCTTATTTATATAACTCTGTTATATTATATATTTAATGTAAAGGACTTATCCCACACTAATAAACTATACTCACTGTATGAAACCAAATTAAAGGTTAAATGAGAATAATTCTACCCTCTACCTGTATATTTCATAAAAATTGCTTTCCCTTTGCTTTATTAAACAGAGCTAATTATATGATTTGTATGCAAACAGTCGGCGGGTTGTTTAAAATTACCACACAATCGTAATGGTGAGCAATTTTTTTAACCACAGAATAAACTCATAAAGTAAATGGAACGGCCGCTAATGGTCCAATTATTATTTAGGGCACATCGCATGTTTAAAACGTAAAGCCGTAATAACAACATAAAAATGGGGAAAATATCTCTTATATCACAGAAATGTTTGCTACATTTTAATTACAACGTTCCGTGTTAATGATAAATATATTATAATTGAATTTGTATAAATAAGTCGGATTCGACTCGACTGCTTGGTTTTAATTAAGCTTTACAAACGTTCAATCGGATTGTATTCGTTGAAGCATTAATTATCAGTGGTTTAATATTAAGCGAATTATACAAATGACAAAGTTCCTTATATTTTGAAAAAAAAATTTTATGATAGAGGCGGACACAGACAAGTATGGTTGATGGTCAAATACTCCAGCCTATAGCATCTAAACAAGATATACCAACCACCCATCTCATATCCATATTTCCAAACGAAGTCCAAAATCAGCATATCGTTGTCTTTCAGGCCGTTCGGCCGATGTGAGCGAGAAATTATATACTGAACGATAGCCGTGAAAGTTACACAATTTATTGAAAGCCAAAATGTTTCAGAAAGATTACAAATTGTTTAGAAAAATGTTGGTCCCGATAGAGATCGAACCCAAGACCCGTTGATTATTAACTGTACATCGCACCCATTACACCAACAAACCCGGCAAAATGTATTTTTGTTATGCCCTCTTATGAGATCATCCACGTTTTCGCCATTGCCGCACAACGGGGGAAGTATGGTTAACTAAACTGTCGGTGTCCCCTCGAATAATATGATATAATGTTAAGTGGTGTTTATTTTTATTTTAGCCCGAGTGGTACCGCGCTGAGCACCTTACCTCAACTTCGGGAATACCTCCAAACGGCGGGCACCTGTAAATGCGGCCTGCCCTGCCCTTTGCGACCCGAAACTACATTCAATTTTGATCCTAAGGTAAGTCATTATATCTATGACGCCGCTAGAGGCAGAGTAGCCTAATTGAACATTTTATTATGATTTGACTTATTTATATTTTTACCATAATGTTACACAAATAATAGGAAAAAATAATTTTCGCCTAACTTAATTGCGCATTTTTATTTTCCTCCTTATTGAAAATCATGTGTTTTGTTATTAGGCCACTCTGGTCTCTAGCAGCCTCAAATTTACATGAATCGGTTTTCAAATAGTAAAACTGTATAGGTATTGTTTCTTAAAAGTATTCCAAGACTTGTCCTAATCATGTTTTTATTTTGGTTACCTCAATAGTTCACATAATATGACTTACTATCGGTACCCTTTCGTCATGTTATTGTGTATTTGTAATACTTGTAATTGAATCACAAAACGCTGTTTTTTCCTTAAGTTAATAAAACGCAAAACAATTATAAAACAACTTAGGTACCAAAAAACTATAAAGACAGGAAGCGACATAATGAAATATTATTTTATCCCAATAGTTAATTGTCTTTAATGGGGTGATTTGTCGATATACAAATGCTGTCATCGTCGGTATTTATCAGTCGGGTTTGGCGAGTTTTTCTTGAGAAAAATTCGTCGGGTGCCGGTTTCGAAATTGATGAAACTTAAACCTGTCGCCGCCTGCGCGCTGTGCAACTATGTCGCCTGTTTCCGTTAATACGCGCACCGAGGCACGCAAGAAATATTTTCAATTTATTTCTTTACAGATAAAAATACTCGCATAATTTTCCAATACAAAGAGCTTGAGACACAAAAGGTGCGACTTGATTTTTTAATAACGACATGTTAAAATTAGTGCACGTTTGATATTTAAAAATGCACCTCTCGCGCAATCTTGTTCAACTCAATATAAAAACGTTAATAATAATATAATAAACTAAAACCAAAGATGGAGTGAAGATTAATAAATTAAATACACTTGTTCTATGAGCAAAATAAATTAAAAGTTAAAGCCAATTTATATTTGCAGCTTAGACATAACAAAAAGGCCACTTATCATTTCGCCTTGACATGGACACACAATAATACATTCATTAGAGTCATAGTCTCACATTAGGTACCTATAGTCATGAATATATTAGTTTTACAATTTAATTTGCCTTTTAAATCGTATGCATTATTATATATATTTTTCATATTTAATATTATTACTGTAACGTATCTTTATCTTATGTTTGTTTATTCTATAAGAAGGATTCCTTCTCTACATAAAAAAGAAAACAAAATATTCTTATATTGTTGTTTGAAAACTTTTAATATTGGCACTATATAGATTAAAAATTCGAAAATAAATTGAAAAAAAAAATCGACTCGGGCAGGACTTGAACCGGCATCGTCAGAATTGGTTAGAGCACGGAACGCTGTAGATGCCGGTTCAAGTCTGCCCGAGCTGAAAAAAAACTCTTTTTCAATTTATTAACGATTTTTAATCTATCCTTATTTTGATTCATTCAATTTCAAAATAAGGAAAATAGATTTAGGATGGAGGACTTCAAGGTAAATAATAATATTCGCTGTTATTACGTAATACATACTTATGGCCCCTATTTTGCGAATGACCCTCATATTAAATACTGGTGTTACTTTTTGTTAGAGATTGTTGTTAAACATTTATTTTGATTGTTGGCTACACCGTACAATTCTCTTGCCACGTGTTTGGAATAACGTAGCATTGTAAAGATAGGATGCCATGACACGCTGCCCGGTCAACACTCTAAATAGCATGTCACAAACCTTTGGTTCATTTCTAAGATAACAAATATATTTTTCGTGGTGTCAAAAACTGAATTTTATAAACTTACCGATCGCTATGTAATGTTTGATAGTTTTATCTATGTTGTATGTAAATTATAACATAATATGTGTCAACTAGCTGTGTCAGCAACTTCGTCCTATTAATTGCAACGAGATGGTATATATATAATATAGTATTATAGCCTATAGCCGTCTTCATTAAATGCTTTAACCAACACCAAAAGTGTTCCTAAGATTAGCGAGTTCAAACAAACAAACTCTTTAGCTTTATATATTAGATATTTAGTTATTTTATATAGATTGTGAATAATGTCAATAGATTTTTTCTAAAATCTGGACAAACAATAAATTCTTTTTTTTTTTCATTAAAAAATTAACTTTGTACTTACTTATTAAATAATAAAAAATCTTAAAAAAGTATAGAAATACTTATACTTTTTTTATAACTAAGTTTTAAAAGGTTGTTCGCATATGAATTGCGTAGTAATTCAGAACACAGTATTGCCTAACAAGTGAGTCGTTAGAACGCGGCCCACTTAACCCAGTGTTTACACACTGTATGCAGCACGCTGCTACGCTGCAGCCTTTATGCTAAATTGATGTAGATCCAAATAGGAATATAAGAACTTGTATATTATCCTTTTTCATTTGTTGTATATGGCAATAATGATTCAATTAGCTGTATAATATATTTGCACCTAAACTAGCAAACGGCCCAGCTTTCAATATTTTTTTTACGATCGGACTGGGTACAGAAGTCTAATCAAAGACCTGCCTTTAATTAATCAATCTGCGAGACATGCAACGGACACAGAAATGTGTTCGCACCATTTATCACTAGTCTGAAGAGAACTATAATGACGATGTATAAATTAATTGTCTGTAACGAAGATTAAAAATTTATGTTATTAACTAAATTTTTTTATCCACCCCTAGTATGTAAGTCTCTTAAACATGTTCATTTACTAGTCTAGACTAGAATGCTCCAGCCCCAACAGTTCGATATTGAATAAAACGTATTCTTTGATCTTTCCTATCTCGTTTCCATGGATGGAGTCTAAAATTCAATCCTCTCTGCATTCACGGAGCTTACTAAAGGTGTATAGCAACACTGTCGGCGATAAGTTAATTCTGTCAAAAGCTCGCCGTGACCGTCCCGTCTTTGTGTGCACTTGAAATGTACAAATTGCATTGCCGGGAGAGAAGTACTAGGGATGTCACTTGTGAGACTTTGCCAATTTGTAGCAGCTTCTCTTAATTCATGCGGAAGAATTTCTTTACGCTATAAAACAAAATGCAAGATATATATATATTTTTTTATTTTACATAAAACTTTTGAGTGTTGTTTTGAATCGAGACGTAAAGTTTTTGAGTTAAATATAATGAATATTTGTTTGTTTTTTTTTTGTAAAGAGCTTGTTGCAATTATATTTGTAAAATATTTATAAATAAAATGTCTATCTAGCCCTACTAAACCGGGGTGTCGTTGGGAGATCGGGGACGCGAGAGGGTGCATCGATTTCTCTTTGTCCCGGCTATCATTCTTGAGATGCACTTTGTGATAGGGTTTGATTCAGTACATTGACCTGTGAAGTGCGAATACTTCATTTGTTTATTATCGGAAACGGCGATACAACTTAAAAGAACAGTGTTATTTAACACTAAAAAATATTTTTCGCTGTAGAGTTAATTTAATACTAAAATCTCTTGTGCTGATATCGCAATCTGTTGACTAAATCATATATACATGAATAAGTATGGAGTTTTTATAGTATGTGTTCAAGGCTATGCCAATACATTAGTCATTGTGCGATTCTAGATGAGTCTAACAACAAACGATCATGTAAATATTAAGAAAATTAATTTAACGAATACCGTAGTACAAAGTTTGTATTTAGTAGATATGTTTAAGGTGAGATATGCTTTTTTTTTAATATGAGTAAATGTTAAGTTGTTTCATATTGTGTTGTGATTTCTTAGACCAATAAGAATGTGTGTTTTCTTCTTATTGCAGAAGATGAGAAAATACTACTTACTTTTTTGTGGGTGTGTATTTAGCTGAAATGATGTCTTGTTATATATAGGTTTTTATTCTAGATACTATAATTCGGATTTAAACATGTTTAACTAAATGCCACGGTAACAATTACATCAATCTCCGATAACTATCTTAATTATGGGGCAGGGTGGAATCGCATTGTGCTGTCTTCGTCGGCGAAACGGTTCCGCGTGGCAACTGGCCGTTTCCACTGATATTTAAGCGATCGATCAAGGCCTCCCAATATTTCCTTCTCGGACCGATTGTATCTGTAGATCTGAAGGATTTATTATGAACTCGATTCGTTCGCCCTCGGTGAAAGGATTCAATTATTTATCGACGCCTTCATCGGTATGCCAGTGTGATCATCGCTTCCTTGTTTCGCGAACTATGATTGAAAAGTATGGTACGTAAGTATTGTCTACGCTAGTAGCACAGTAGTTAAAAAATACGATTTTTACAACTTATAGCGCGTAATATATTTGTTAACTTATTTTAACTATGATTCGACGTTTCGCGCGGTGATAGGATATCATATTTCCTTCCTATATATTTTATATATATAACTAAATAAACTAAAACTAACTAAACTATATCTAGAGCAATTTAATTTAAAAGTATGATTACTTTTAAATTCTTACGCTTTAGATTAGCCGTGTGCTGTGGCAATAGAACGTGTTTATCTGATTCTTGATAATAACCATGAAGTTTGCTTATGATTATGTGCACAGTAGAGAGTAATTATTTCTTAAATACCTTAAAAACTAGTCCAGCGCGGTTGCGAATAAACTGTCAAAATTTTATAACATATGTTCGTGTTTACCCGGTGTGAAATTAATACTGTGACTTAGTTATGGAAATTATGCGGCGAAGTGCTTATTATTAAAATGGGGCACAGTCTATATTCCTAATCAGTTTTATAATAATCGTAATACGGTATTGCAACACATGCGTGTTTCCTTTTTTATTATTTATAGAAGATTAATTCTTTTATACACAATTTTTGGGCATCTTGAACCGTTTCCGCAGCACGCACCGGAAACTTTAAAATGTAAATAATAATTTTCGACGATTTCTTCAAATTTCCCTCACTTTCTTCGCTCCTATTGGCTGTAGCCAGATGTCCCAAACCCTGACTCAATAAATTGTCTAGCCAAAACATCTTGAACCAGTAATTCCT